CCCCCCCCAACTGGCCATTCCGCAGCCCCTTGAGCCCACTCCACAGTGGGGCCAGGGCTGGGTGTTTGCACAGGGACGTGCTGTTCCAGCCTGGTGCCAAGTATGTGCCGGTGTTTGTTTGTGCTTTAAGCTTGGCACTGCTGGGGAAATATGTGCCGGGCGCTGCCCCAAGCTGCCGGAGCAAGTCGAGCTTGCCTCTGTTATTGCTCCTGGTGCCAAGAATTCACTTCCCGACATGGATGCATTCCTTGGGGCCACGGGAAGGATTTTGAAGGGGCTGAGTTTTGTCTTGCTGGACCCCAGCACAACCCAGTTGTGCTCTTGCGCTGGTTTGTTGGGGTGGCAGCTGGGAAAGGAGACAGCAAGGGGTGAAGGGGTGCCTGGGTGTGGATGCATGTCCCTGTTTCTTGCAAGAAGTGGGGCAAGAACACTTCAGGTCACTGGGGACGGGGCTGTGCCCTGTGCTCACCACAGCTTCCTCCTTTGCTGTTCCTATCGGTGCATGGTGATGCTCAGGATGGTGACAGAGGCTTGGGTTTGCTGCACTTTCTGTCCCCAGAAATGTTGACCAGAGAGGGGCTTCCTCATGGTGGCAGTTCCCCACGTCCTTGCTACGTCCTTGCTGCGTCCCTGGAGCAGAAAGACCTGTGTGAGGAGCTGTGCTGGCATTTTATCCCATCTGGGGTTCCCTCAGACCCCAAGGTGCCAGGGCTGCCTGCCCTTGGGGCCGTGCTGTCAGTGTGGGCAGGAGTTTCCTGGGTCCCTTTCGCAGGGGTGTTTGGGGTTCAGCAGTGAGCCCGCCCGCCTGTGCCAGGAGGGGAGACCAGAACCTCCCCCTTCCGCTGTGGCCCTGGCCCGGTGTCTCGCCTTCTGAATCCCAGAATCATTCCGGTTGGAAAAGCCCCTCAGGATCAGCGAGTCCAACACTCAGCCTGACTCTACAAAGCTCTCCCCTACCCCACATCCCCCCACAGCTCATCCCAACGGCCCTGAAACCCCCAGGGATGGGGACTCCCCCCTCCCTGGGCAGCCTGTTCCACTCTGACCCTCTCAGTTTTGTCTCACATCTCAGCTGTGTGACGTTGTGGTGCCTCGGCCGGGTGCCGTGGGCTGAGCTGCCTTCCCAGGTCGGGGCTGGGGCTCTGCTGCCGCGGGGTATTTTAGTGGCCTTTGGGCCCAGTGGGCACAGCAAGGCCCCAGCACGCGTCCCTGGCATTGCCAGCCTGGGCACCTGTGTGCCATTGGGTGTGATTTCTGGGAGCGCCCCAACTCCAATTTCCAGTGTCCTGGGTCTGGTTAGGCACAGAAAGGCCCCGAGGCTGGAGCAGCTTGAGCTGCGCTGGTGCTTGGCTCCGCAGGCGAGCTCTGCAGGGGGGCAGCTGCCTTCGCCCTGCGCCTCTCTCCATCCCGGCCCTTCCCAGAGGTGGGGATGGAGCAGAGCTGGGACACAGCCCCGCAAACCTCCTTCCCTTCCTCATCACCCCAGAGCAAAGCTGCAGGGTTTGCCTCGCTGGGGAGTGTCTGATCCATCAGCATTTGCACAGATCCCCATGGCTCCTTCCCCAGCCAAGCTCTGCCCAAACCAGGGTAGATTTTGGGGGCATCGGGCTCAGCCCTGGGGGGTGAAGCAGGAGCCTGTGGCCAGAGAAGACCAGAACTGAGAGCCAGTGCCCCAGTGATGCTGACGGCCAAAGTGCCCCTGGGGTGTCCCAGGCGGTGGGTGATGACAGAGCTCGTGGGTGCATGGAGGTTTTGAGTAATGGGAGAGATGTGAAGCATCTCTCTCCACTGATGACTGGAAGAAACAGGGAAGTGCCCTGTGAGCATCCAGCTAAGCGAGCCAGAGTCAGAGAGGGCTTTAACCAGACCCAGGTAAAATGCCGAGTGGGTCGAAAGTAACATAGAATCACAGAATAATTTGGGTTGGAAGGGAACATTAAAATTCATCTAGTCCAACCCCCCTGCCACAAGCAGGACACCTTCAACCGCATCAGGTTGCTCAGAGCCCCGTCCAACCTGACCTTGAATGTCTCCAGGGATGGGGCATCTACCACCTTTCTGGGAAACCTGCCTTATCACAAAAAAAATATTCTTTATATATAGCCTGAATCTCTCCCTTCAGTTTAAAACCATTATGCCTTGTCCTGTTGCAACAAGCCCTACTAAAAATTCTGTTCCCATCTTTCTTACAAGCCCCCTTCCAGGCTGCAATAAGGTCACCCCAGAACCTTCTCCTCTCCAGGCTGAACAACCCAACTCTCTCAGCCTGTCCTCACAGCAGAGGTGTTCCTGCCCTCAGATTTTTGTGGCCTCCTCTGGACCCGCTCCAGCAGGTCCGTGCCCTTCATGATGTGCCACTCCAGGGGCTCTCACCAGAGCACGTCACACTCCCCCCTCCCAAGCAGCCCCTTCCGTGCGCACTGGCCAGGGTGTCCTGGCTCCCCACATTTGCCAGAGCTTCAGTCCCTCTGCCTGCACGCTCGCGGCCTTGCTGGGGGATGCTTTTTTGCAAGAAACAGAAAGAGAACAGGGGCTGAGGTGAGGGAGGACCGTGTGGCCCCTCAGAAAATGGCACAGGCTGAGGACCGCGTGCCCCGTGCTGGGGGGAACAGCGGCACGGCGGGGGCTGGTGGTGCTGGGGGGGGAGTGTACCTGCACGGAGGGCCCTGCACTGCCGAGGGGCTGCTGCACGGGGCCAAGAGTGGCCGGGGCCCAGCAGCACCGGGGCGCGGGGGTGGAAACACGACACCCGGGGGGGGAACCCGGCTGGGGCTGGGACCAAACAGAGCAAACCTAGAAAAGAACACACACCCCACCACAGAAGCGGCGGCTTTCGCCCTTTTTCACCCCAAAAAGGC